AACCAACACCAGTTAATAACAAATATTGTGAGATACTTGTGAGTGCCTGCAGCTCTGAGAGGTTGAGCGAGAAATCTCATCTTCAAGTCTATCCTAAGGAATTCGTCTATGCATAAAAAAATCTTAGCATCAATGGACACACCCAGAGGCACTGAGAAGCTTAGCATAAATATGATATGGCAGCACAAATCATCAATAAAATAAAGAAACCTATTTGCAGACCAAAAAACAGGCCATACAATTATGATCAGAGACAGTGATTGATGGTCTGATCCAATAAGGGCAACGATGAAGCCGGAATCCTCTAAGCATGCACCTGCATAAAATGTGGTGTCAGCATTAATACAAAGACCAAAGATGCAATATAAACATTGCATAGCATGGAGAATACCTGCGCCCAGGCTGGTTTTCACCATTGAAGTATGTTAAGGTGCGTTCAAAGTATTTGACATATCTCTACAGAACATAACAAGAACATATTAGGCAATCATATAAGATATAAAAAGCTTGCCAAAGCAGAATAATCCAGAAATTAAAATTCCTCAAAGAATATCACTAGATTCAATTGCTCACAATTTGACTTGGCAGAACAAGCCCCTTTCCATCCATACATCTTTTCTGGTTATAGTAGTCAATTGACTCTTCGGCAGTGGGAAAGAACTGCAAACGGATAGCAAATAAGTACATAAAAACAGAACCAAAAATTGTGACCAAGAATGTGAAGCTACGTTAAATTCACTAGCACATCTTCAAGAACATGTTTGTTGGGTCAAACCTTCAAGTATAGAAGAAGGCTAGAGATCATCAACCCTGTCCTTGCCATCCCAGCTTTACAGTGCACAACCACAACATTCTCAATATCCTCCTTCAGCCATGAGTAAGCACTTTGACAAAATGATATTATCAATTGAATTGGGGGGCAATTGTGGTCATTGAATGGAAAACTAGCCACCTGAAGAAAAAGTTCATTATCATATGTAAGACGATGGCAGATGTTGATTTCACATTGGTCATCCTACAGTCAGTTTTAGTTGATTTGATTTTCATCAACAGGCTGTATTCGCTGTTATGCATGCATCAATGCGAAACAAAAGGTAGCGAAACTTCATCAAAGTTTGGGTGGAATTTGACTCTTCCTTAAAATTATCCTCTGCTGAACACTGATTTTCATCATCGAGCGGAATAGACTCTTCCCCATACTCTCCTGAGGGATTCCGTCGATGAATAGTATAACAAGAAATTAGTGCCTGATTTCATCATCTTGAGCTAACTTATTTTTGTTTCTGACTTGTTCCACTAGACTAACCAAATGGGAAAGTCTTAATCATTTTCTGATGCCAACAGAGGGATATGATATTACATGGTTAAGAGATCACTGAGATGATAAAAAGGGTTTCTTTTATCCAAGTTAAATGACAGGCAAGTGATAAAAATGTAAGACATAAGCTGAAGTGAAATATTAGAAGTAAACATATTCCCAAGTGAGTTCGCATAACAAATCATGGCATACCTTTCCTTCAAATAATGATGCATCATACAGTCTCTCGGAGCAAAGGTTATACACTTTGTACTTGTCCTGCATATAGAAAGTCAAGAGATTTTAGAACCAAACAGTCCAATGCTTAGCAACGGGGTAAGAATGAACATACACATATACATATGAATTAGTGATAAATGAGCCCCTTCAATACCAAAATTTTCTGTTTAGTAAATATAAAGGTATAATGACTTTAACTGCTCCAGTAACCTCAACCAATACGGTTTATATTGAAAGAGAGGTGGATGTGGTGGGAAAAAGTACAGGCCAGAAAGTTGACCATAGACTCATAAAGTTTTTATTTAAACAAAGACAATAGCAGGCCTGGAACAGAGCAGAGTTCAAGCTGAGTTAGTTATCATGTCCAAACAGCCAAAAACATATAAAACGAAGAGGCAAGTATAATTACTATCCACTAGTATTAATCAAAATCCTTAGTCCAGTATTTTGATGAGATGTTCTGCCATCACATACACCTATAAATGCACAGTCTAGTAGGATGTTTAATATATCACAAACAACTGACCAATCCAACCTAACACAAACTAGACCAAGTTTCCACTTCTTTCAGCTTTTGAATTCAGCACAATGTTATCTATGAGGAAATAAATGGCAAAACTCCAAGAAAGAAATAGTTTCACAAAAACCAATTCGTCAATTAGTCAATCATCATATGCAGCCATCAGAAGACAAAATTGATATCAAACATTTGCAAATAGAAAACACACACATCATGGGAGATAAAAGCAAAAAATAATAAAAAAATGATGCAAGGAGTAGAAAATCATAGACATGTCATTACCTTGTGATGGGTTTCAAAAAACTTAATCACTTCTTCCATGTGATTTCTATAGAAACCCTGCATCATAATTAAAGAAATTTAGGCTACTTATAAGAGGATGGCTAAACTAAACTATGGATTAGATTAGCTCACCTCAACATATCCAAAAAACCCAGAGCTCATGTCACCAGCAGGGAACCCCATAGCAATTATGTTCTCAGTGATGTATGTCATATCTAAGTCAAATCCTCCTTCCTGAAGAGAAGTGCATAGGTAAGTTTAAAAATATTGAGATACAAATCATACTATAAACAACAATAACAAGATATAGATATCACATATGAGATTCCTTTTTTTTACCAAAAGAAAAAAATTGAGACTCATCTCTGTACTAAAGAACTTTCCACAAAAAAGAATGCAACCCATGATCCTAAAACACGAAAAAAAAAAACCAAAGTATGAGCCCTACCTGGTATCTCCGTTTATTCTGTGAGACAACATGCCGAGCCTTGACCTGTACAGCTTTCACTGCATTTTTTGATGAGTCAACTATGCCTTTTGTAATTGTTCCAAATAAACCAGATTGAGCTGCTGCAGAAGTCCCATCAGAACTATCATTAGCAGGAGGAGATTTTGGTGAAGACCGCAGTCCTAGCCCACTAGTAAACCGTGCAAAAGTTGATTTTCCAGCATTTCCTGTTGGTGAGTCTTCTTGTGAGGCAGCAAATGGCTGGGGAATTTTTAAATTTTTAGCCCATGATGACAGCTTTGATGGTGCATCATGTGTAGAATTATCTGGCCCTGGATCTGTGGCAGCGGGAGTTTGTACATCAGAAGCTTTAGCAGGAGGTGGACTTGACAAGTCAACAGCTCCACTATCCATTCTGCCGCTCTAGAGGTCTCAATAATGATAGAAGGTCAAAAGTTCAAAGCTCCAGCATATAAAACACCACTTTATTGTACTTGCAATTACACTGCAAGTCTGCAAGCATAATGTATTAAGGTCAGCTAATATATATATTAGATGCTATAACGAACATGCACTTCTAGTTCTTCCCGCACCAAGCAAACAGAAATCATGAATTGCTAAATACCCATATTGATTTGACCTAATAATCAAAAGAAAGTATATACTGAGGAGGAAATGTATGACACACAATAAATTAGCCATGTGATTCTCTTAGTTTTCTCTAGTTCACATTTGCCTTGTAATTCATGGCATGTCTATGTCTTACAAAACAAAGGTGCCAGAAAAACATAACTAAATTAACTCAAGATATAGCGCTAATCATTCTTGACATGTTTAATTCATGCATTCATCAACAGAAGACATTAATATTACCAAATCAAAAGGCATTGAGCTGCAGTATGTTAGGCAAGCAAATGTTCGTACAGCTTTGAAGCAAATGATCACAGCCCACAACCAAATTTAACCAACTTAACATGACATCTAATTTATGCAAAGTGTTAATTCGACTGCTCTAGAAATCAGAAAAAAACCGCAACTAATGTAACGATTTCAAATGTGGGATCAACAAATTATCAGCTTAGCACTCTGATTACTTGCTAATTAACAAATGATAGTCACTATTTTTCACTCCAAATATCAAAAGACTACTTTCGATTGGTATTTACAAGTACATTCAAGTCTTCAATATTTTTTTTTTTTGAAATGTAAGTCTTCAGTATTTAATCAATATCAAACTGTAATTTTAGCTCCCAATTAACACATATTACCAACACCCAATTAAAAAAAAGAGAAAAATAAATTTTCAAAAGCAAAAACAGTTCAAAACCTAAAGCCGAAATGAAACTAACCATCGATCGCCTTAAAAGGATTTGATTAAAGAGATTGAGATGTACGGAGCCGATCTTACCTTTGTATCGAGAATAGGGAAGAACCTAGAGTAGGGGATTGCAAAACTGAATCTTAAAAAAGCTAGGGTTACAAGATTTAACACAGGGACGAAGAGAGAAAGAAGGAGAATGAGACTGGAATTTCGTAATTTGAAGGTGTTGGTTTTTGCGTCAGTACACGTGCTTTCCGTGGTCAACGCATTGTGGACCGCTGATATGGCAGAAACTCTATTTAGGATCGAAATTGGACGGTGGGAAATTACGTTTCGCAATTATAGATCTGTGTACGGTTCCTACAATGAGATATCAGATATGGTCCGCTAGATCCTTTTTTAGATTTTCGTATGGGCCCTACACGCCCTTACCTTAATCCCTCTCCTAATAAATAGTAGTAGTATTAAGTTGAAGTAGATTTTTTATCCAAAAAAAAAAAAAAACTTGCAGTAGATTTTCTTTTTTGGAGCTTTTAATTTTGATTCTTGAAATTAATTCTTCTGCCTTTTTTGTCTACTATCAATAGTTCCTCATTTATTTATCTTCTAATATATATATATTCCAAATTAAACTTACAAAAAATTAAAATTTATCCAAAAAAATGAAAAAATTAGTTCATTTCTTTACTATTATTTACTTTGCAAAAGAACCCACATGCCAGAGGAAAATGTGAGATGGAGATTGTGTCCTTGGCATGAATTGCCAGCATTAAACAATTAATTAGCACAATAATGTAGAATTTAATATATAAATATCCATGCCTTTACCATCATTCATCACTGGATTCAGACGTTTTGTTGATATTTATGCTTATAAAAATCGTGACACAGCTTTATGAAATATCTCCTCTGTTGATGCCTCGTAAAGCTTGGAGGGATGTTCCAACAACCAAAACTAGGGTGATAATAAATACAAAGCAAACAAGAACCTGGACAATTAACCACGTATTAGTGAAAAAAAATTATTAAAAATCTTCTGCATATTTACAACAAAGGACCTAAACTTAAAAGGCATTGAAAGTTTCAATATGCTGTTTAGATAAACAAGGGATGCACCAATGCAGCTGAATAAAATCAAGCAAATTGTCTTCTCCTTGCAGATTGCAGCCTCCCTCCCTAATGTTTTGGGTCACCGCAATATTTGTCAGCTTTTCCTCCTTGACCCGAGAGAAATCTACTGCTGCTCAAGCACTGCTGATCCTTGTCCAGGCTTGTGGCCTGGTACTTGTAGCTGGACCTCGCCTCAATAGTTTTACTCCCAATGGGTTGTCCTTGCTCTGCATCATTAACAACAGTAAACAACATGAGAACACGTGTTAACATAGTTATGGAAAGTAGTGAAATTCCAATACAGATCATAATTTTACCATTCGGCAAGTTCCAGCTGCAAGGTCACAGATCGGATACTCCTGAGGGCAGCAGCTGTAGTGATCTTCACAGCAGGTTGCAGATTCCAGAGGGCAACATCCCCATCCAAAGCAGAATCTACCAAACTCATACAAACAGCAGCAAG